AGTAAATATAATAAAAGTTAATAGTGATTAAAAAAAAGCCTTCCAGGGGAAGCAGTAAAGGCTAACAGTTATACAGAAAGGGTAGTACTAGTAGATGCCTGGAATAGCCATCCAGTGGGAGCGGTAACAGTGACATAGAAAGAGTAGAAGATACCTGGAATAGCCTTCCAGTGGGAGCAGTAACAGTCAGGCGACATTTTGCTGCTCCTGTCAGTGGCGGGCCGGTGGCTCCCTAATTAGGCGAGTTAGGCGGCCGCCTAAGGTCTCACTGCCGCCTAACTCACCATAGGGCTGGCAGACTGTGTCAGGTCCTCAGTCCCTCACCGAGGACCCAACTTCAGGAGGGGGCCCGGTGGCATACCGGGCAAGCCTTTGCTCTGTCACTCTACCACATGCCACTTCCTCACTCTCTCTGCCACCCCCTCCCTTACTGTGTCACCCCTCCCACCCTCAGTCATTCTGCCACTCCCTGCCTTACTGTGTCACCCTCTCCCTCCCTCAGTCACTCCGCTTACTCTGTCATCCCCTCAGTCACTCTGCCACCTGTCACCTACTCTGTCACCTGTGTCACCCAGTCCCTCCCTCATTCACTCTGCCACCTGTCACCTCCTCATCACTCTGCCACCTGTCACCCCCTCCTTCACTGTGTTACCCCCTCCCTTACTGTGTAACCCTCTCCCTCCCTCAGTCACTCTGCCACCTGTTACCCCCTCCCTCACAGTGTCACCCCCTCAATCCTGCATCCACTCTACATACACACACACAGACTGCATTCACTACACACACACACACACACTGCATCCACTATACACAAAAACACTGCATCCACTATGCGCACACACACTGCATCCACTATACACACATTGCATCCACTATACACACACACTGCATCCAATATACGCACACACTGCATCCACTATACACACACACTGCATTCACTACACACACACACACACTGCATCCACTACACACACACACTGCTTCCACTATGCGCACACACATTGCATCCACTATACACACACACTGCACACTGCATTCACTATGCACACACACACACATTGCATCCACTATACACACACACACTGCATCCACTATACACACACACACACACACACATTGCATCCACTATATACACACACATACTGCATTCACTATACACACACATACACACATATTGCATCTACTATACACACATACACTGCATCCACTATGCGCACACACATTGCATCCACTATACACACACACTGCATCCACTATACACACACACACAAATACACGTTGCAACCACTATACACACACACTGCATCCACTATACACACACACACACACTCTGCATCCGCTATCTACACACACACTGCATCCACTATGCGCACACACATTGCATCCACTATACACACAAATACACACTCTGCATCCACTACATAGACACTGCATTCACTACACACACTGCATAACATAATGGTTGTGGGCGTTTTTTGCGTGGTGTGGATTTGTTGGGGATGGAGGGAGGAGGGGGGAACAGCATTTCATTCTTTTGATGCAGGCAGCACAATGCCTTGGGCCAGCCCTGGTAACAGTGATATAGAGAGGGTAGTGGGTACCTGAAATAGCCTTCCAGTGGAAGCAGTAACAAGTAACCATAAAGGAACTGAAGAATGTTGGGATGTGTGTGTTGCTAATAACAAATAATCTGTAATTCTCAGAAATGATAAATGGTGGATTAGATCGGTAGATTGGCTTCTAAATGCCGGTGTGGCAGAGCTGCAATATTAAATTCCACGATTTCCGCTGGTACAGAAGGTAATCCAAAGTAAGGCAATATCCCAAATCCCCCCAGTAACCGGACGAAACACAGTTCTGGGAGTCAACTGAGGCTTTTATTCACAGGTCACAGTATTTATGCAAGTCCCCATGCAAGGGGTTTCCCTACTGACATTCCAGGGGTAATACAGTAGGGGACTACATGGGGGACTTAACAATCTGGACATTTCTCCCATCAGGCACTGCTGGACGAGAGGGATACTCCCACTGGAATATACCGTTAAGTGGATTATCCCTCCGTGCAGCAGAACCAACATTTTACATTAAAATACATAACTTTTATAATATTCACGTTATTTAAACAAATGGACATTCAGTAGATAGCTGGGGTCTGAGCGCACATTTCGTGAGAATACCGCTCAGATCCCAGCATAAATAACCGAACGCCGCACGAAATGCACTTTAACATTAGGTTTGACTAAAAGTACCGAACACCGATGGGGAACCATAATAGTGAAAGACCAGAGCTCCCGAACGGCCTGGAAGCCCAGCGGTGTTCACGCCATTGAGTAGACGATTTCAGTTCCATGCGCTCGACGACCAAACACCACTGGGGAAAGAAAGGATCCAAGATGGCCGACCGCCGCGTGGTCGGTAGCTGAACGACGGCCACCTAGGAAAGCCCTTAACGGGTTAATGGGTGCCACACGACCCTCTGTGTGTGGGCTCCTGGTTGGTATCTCATTCGTTTCACGAACAGTAGATAGAGTCCCTGTTCGTGAAACGAATACATGAATGCTAGCGGCTTTCGGCTGCTAGCATACGAATGCTCTAGGACATAGCAGTACAGGCAGACATTAAAATATAACAGTCCAGCGGCTTATACAGGCAAACTTTGCAGATACAGCCATTTACTCTAAAAGTGGCTAGGTTTGCCACAGCCGGCACTATTTAGATTTGTTATTTTTACCAAATACATATTACAGAGCTCTGTCTTACCCAATTATGAGAAATAATGAGGACGGGTACTACTATCTGCCAACGTGGGCCCCCTTTTCCATGTTCCTCACACAATGAAGTTTTCAGGACATTGACAGGAGTTTTACAACGCAATGTCGGGGACAGAAAGAGCCCCCCGCTTTTATAAAGCTGTGTCTGACTGGATTTAATCTGCACATTATAAGCGCAACGTGGGGGCAATGCTGAACCCCTCAACCTTTCAGAAATTTTCTTCAAACTCTGAGTTTCCTTGTGGTTTTTTTTAATTTAAAAAGTTACTTTTTTCTTTCACTCTCATTTATTTAATTCTATCTTTGTTTCCTTGTTCATTTTTCAATTGATTTGACCCACTTGTCAAGGTCTCTTAAACTGGAAACAAATGGTTTAGAAGGACTGAAAGCCAGCTGAGTTTTACTTGGAGTGCTAGATATTTTGTAGTAATTACCAATCCACCGGAGAGCCTCTTCTCTCAGAGGCTATCATTTCCGGGTAGTCTATGGCTGAGAATGATTCTCAGGGGAACACACCTTCCCTCTCGGCAGTAAGATCCAGATTGCTGCTAGAATAGGGAGAGAGGTCTTACATGGGAACGATAATAGCCCTCCTACCACCCTCTGCAGACGGTATCCTTTATCACACCACAGACTTTCATTAATATCTGTTCTCCCTCTCCTAATCTTCCATCCAGCGTGAAATTAGATTCGCTCTGATATCAGCCTTCCATCTTAGCTTCCAAGAATAACAAGTCGCTACAGATAAGCTTATTGGTTGAGACATGTAACCATTTCAGTGCTAGCCTGTTAAATAGCTGCAGAGAAAGGATTAAATGGGTATTATCCCTTTAAAAAATATATTTAAGTCAACTTCAAAAGTACACTAAAACTAAAACTCACTAGAAAGTGCTTGATCGGAAGATGTCAATTACGTTTGCATAGTTTGCTATAAGTAATTACATCTTCTGTACGTTGTATAATGCAAAAATGGACATTTATGGACATTCATAGTACAAAAACCTAATTAATAATTCTAGAAATGGCTAAAGTTGGACACAATTCAACTCCCCTTGTAACAGTTAGAGTATCTGGTAGGCTAGTGCATCTGTGTTCAAATAAGTTGAAATTTGTCAAAATTTCAGCCAATTGGCAGTTTGTCAGAATTTCCGAAATACTAAATGAATGAACCATGAAACAAAGGAAACGGACAAACAGTTTAATCTGTTTTATGTGATCGGTGATAAAAGGAGATGATTGATGCCTGGGGGACAGTTATTAAATATTGATAGAGGGAAAAAGGAACATTAAAAAATAAATACATCTATATCCACAAAGTATATGTTTAAACTCTATAATATCGAAATTTAGATATTTTTTGCCCCTCCTCCTTTTTTGCTCTTTTGGTAACGTCTCACTTGATCTGTGATGCCTTATTTGTTGAAACTTGCTTTGTTGGGTTCAGACCCCGGCTCTTGTTCTTGACCAAAGCTGCCAATGGGGAAGGGTTTGAAGGGGGGGGGGGGGACAGGCCCGGCTGTCCTGGAGGCCCCAGCCCCACATTCCTACCTGTAACGGAGGAACTGCCACCAGAGCACCTGCACCGGGCCCACACGCTGATGGGGCCCATGAATTGGCCATGCACTTCAGAGGCCTGGTCAGTGCTGCGGCTGTTTAATAGCACGACCGGCCCCCTTTAAAAATGTCACAGACAGTCAGTGCTGGGAGAAAGTGACGTCCGTTCACTTCCTCCCAGCTTACTCCAGGCAGGAGGAAGAGGCAGAGCGGAGGGAAGATCCAGACCAACTCCCAGCCACACTCCTGCACCAAAAAAGGTAAAAACATGAGGTGGCTAAAAAATTTGCTGTGGCTAAAAAATGTGTGTGTTTCAGTGTGTATATGTGCATGTCTGTGTTTCAACATGTATGCATGTTTCAGTGTCAGTATGTATATGTGTGTATGTGTATATGTCTGTGTTTCAGTATGTATGTGTGTGTCAGTGTGTATGTCTGTGTTTCAGTATGTATGTGTGTCAGTATGTATGTGTGTGTGTTTGTCTGTTTCAGTATGTATGTCTGTGTGTCAGTATGTATGTGTGTCAGTATGTATGTGTGTGTGTATGTCTGTTTCAGTATGTATGTCTGTGTGTCAGTATGTATGTATGTGTGTCAGTATGTATGTGTGTGTGTATGTCTGTTTCAGTATGTATGTCTGTGTGCCAGTATGTATGTTTGTGTGTCAGTATGTATGTCTGTGTGTCAGCATGTATGTGTGTATGTCTGTTTCAATATGTATGTCTGTGTGCCAGTATGTATGTGTGTCAGTATGTATGTGTCAGTATGTATATCTGTGTCAGTATGTACATTTGTGTGTCAGTATGTCTGTGTGTGTATCTGTGTGTCAGTGTGTGTATCTTTGTGTGTCCGTATCTATGTGTCTTTTTGTGTCTGTGTGTACCTGTGTTTGTGTATGTGTATGAGTGTCTGTATATCTGTGTGTCAGTGTGGGTATTTGTTTTTTATTATCTGTCATGTGTGTAACATGTATCAGTCTGTGTGTGTATCTGTGTGTTAGTGTGTGTATCTGTGCAGGGCCGGTGCAAGGATTTTTGCCGCCCTAGACAAAAAAAAAGTTTACCAGTTTGTGTAGGTGATGCAGTGTGTGTGTAGTTGAAGCAGTGTGTTTTTGTGTAAAGGATAAAAATCAGTGTGTGTTTGTGTGTAAGGGATGCATTGTGTGAATCTGTGTTTGAATGTGTAAGGCATGCAGTGTGTGTGTGTCAGTAAGGGATGTGGGGTAAGATAGGGGCTGAGTCCTACCAGCCCATTTGTGCTTCTCTTTTCCTCCTTCCTTAGCCTCTCTCCCCTCTTGTCCCTTAGAGCTCTCCCCTTCTGTCCCTGCCCCCTTTCCCTTAGTGCTCTCCCCTCCTGCCCCTTACTGCTGTATCCTGCCCCACTGTCCCTTATTGCTCTTCCCTGCCCCTTACAGCTCTCCCCTCCCATCCCTTAAAGCTCTCCCCTGTCCGTTATTGGTCTCTTATCCCCCACCCCGTTGCTTACTGGTCTCTCCTATCTCATGCCCCTCCCCGCAAAGTAATCTCCCTGCCCCCTTACCTGTAGTGCTCTCCCCTCTTGTCCCTTAGAGCTCTCTCATACCCTCCCCCCATCCCTTGGTGCTCCCCCTTCCCTTAGTGCTCTCTCCTACCCCCCGTCCTTTAATGCTCTATCCTGCCCCCTGTTCTTTAGAGCTCTCCCTTAAATCCCTTAGAGCTCTTCCCCTTCCCCTTAGTATTCTCTCCTCTTCTACCCCCCTTTCTATTAATGGTCTCTCCTCTCCCCCAACCCTTAGTGGTCTCTTCTCTCCCCCCACCCATAGTGGTCTCTCCACCACCACCACCACCGTGGTCTCTTCACCCCTCCATTCATGGTCTCTCTCCCCTCCCTCCATTGTATCTCTCCCTCCCTCCCTACATGGTCTCGCTTCCCCTTGCCTCCCTACATGGTCTCTCCCCCTCCCTACATGGCCTCTCTTCCCCTTCCTCCCCCCCCCCTTTCATGGTCTCTCTCTACACCCCCCCATGTCGGATCCTTCCCTTTGGGCTGGGTGAAGTATTTTATTGATGAGCTTGTTATTTCTTTTTATCTTGTGAGTGCAGTTTGTAATAAATATTGTTTATACTTTTATACAGTTTTGCACTATGTAGGTGTCTCTCCTATTTTCCCTATATATATATAAATAAAAGTGGAGTAAAGAAAAGAAGGCGCTGCAGTTATTTTGACCTGTTACTCGCCTACTATACATTTATAGTTTGTGAGTGCAAAATATTCACAATTCCCTTTATGGTGTTTATTACACTATTTGTGGTTCTGTTTTGAATGTTATTGTACATGGTGTTTTTTTTATATATCCTACAGAGAAATAGCTTTTGGAGTGTACTAAAGAAGCAAAACCTCTCTATGAAGTTTGCGTCTGACACCACGGAAAGTGGCAAAGGTTACGGGAGAACAACTTAAAATGGGGAACATCTTGCCAAATCAAAACATGTGGACTTTAAGTGAATAAAACGCTATGGTAATAACGTACCACAGAGGTACTAGAGATAACAAATGTCTGTCTATCTGTGTCTGTCTGTCTATCTAACTATCTATCGATATCTATCTATTGTTATTATTATTATTTTATTATTTATATAGCGCCATCAGATTCCATAGCGATGTACAAAAGGTGGACTAACAGACATTTAATTGTAACCAGACAACTCGACACACAGTAACAGAGGGATTGAGGGCCTGCTCAGTGAGTTTACATGTTAGAGGGAGTGGGGTATAGTAACACAGTAACAGAGAGGTGGAGGGCCCTGCTCAATGAGCTTACATTCTAGAGGGAGTGGGGTATAGTGACACAAAGGGTAAAAGTAGGGGTATGAAGTAAGTTGTTAGAAAAATATAAGCTGAGGGCTTAGTAGGTAATTTTTGACAATTGCAGGAGAGGAGTCATGGAGCGTGGAGGATAAAAATCTATCTATCTATCTGTCTCTCTATTGTCTGTCTGTCTAGCTATCTGTGTCTATCTATCTATCTATCTGTCTATCTATCTATATATCTGTCTATCTACTTTATATATTTTTTACGATAGAGAGCCTCACAAGCTCTAGCAATGACTTTCACGTCCCATTACCCTCAGCCAGCTCTTGATATATCTGAACATGGAGTAATTTCTGTTTTCACTAGATATTCTGATGAAGGTCTCAGCAAAAAAAAACAACATATTATTGACACTTTTTATTGTTCACATAAAATCATTATATAATTTACATTTTATATACACGTGCTATAGACTTTGATGCAGAATATATATAATGTATTGAGCATATCTTTATGAGGAACAAATGACATGGAATTAAGGCTTCAGCTCCGATCCGTTCCCCCAGGTCTGTAACGGGACCAGCACTGCGGCAGTTCATACACATTTAATACACATTTAATATATCTTTCCGTAAACTGGGCAATGCAGCAAAAAAGATCCTTTTCTGTTAAAACCCAACTAATATACCAAAAAAGAAGGCACACCAACGGACCTAATAATTAAAAATAATAATAATTAGTGTCTGCCAACAGTCCGTGAACAAGTGTCCCATCTTCTCTCAATTCCATTTTGGGACATATTACTAAATGACTATGGTGTCTATGGGAATGAGTTTTACAAACCAAGTGACACAGTATTGACATGTTTTGTATAAAATGAGCACTTGGATGATTAAAACATAAAAAAAAAAAACCAACATTCTGAAGGGAATAAATTCTTCTTTATCTGCGCCAAGGTTAAACCAACTCACCAGAGCGTCTAAAATGGCTCCATGGAACCTGTACCTTGCTAAGTGCTTTACAAGTTTGATGATACATGTTTGAATTTCTCTTGTGTGAACCTTAGTACAGCTCAACCTAATTCTTCAGTGGATCTAAATAGGTCTCAGAAGTACTGCACCTCAGTTCACGTTCTGCCACCAGTTATCCTGCCATGCTTGATGGTAAATCTTTGGTGTTCACTAACTCTGACCTTAGAACAATTCAACCCGAGTAGTCAACCAAACTAAATCAGTACCTTCTTCCTGCTACCCTTTGTAAGTACCCTGAATGTTGACAGACAAAGATACATTTTGAACCACCAATGAAAACGAAAGTTTTGTAAACCTGTACGATTAGATATTACCATGAACTGCCCATTGATAAATGATAACCCTTAAAAGTGCCTTAAAAATCAGAAGATCTGAAATAGGAGGACCATGAATGTATGCATTGTCAACCTTTCCTTGATTACCTGAGATGGTGGAAACACTCATACAAAAAGGCTTCTGTATTATTTAATATTGTGTTTTAATAATTATGACATTGATCTGGTAATGTGACTTCCCTTGTTGATATCTCAGAGCTGTTAAATGTAGACATTGCAGGACTAAAACATTGTGGACAAATCCCTGAAATTGTGATGAACTGTAGGGCTCCATACCCTCTAGAGAAATGTATAATAATATATCGAGTGGAATAGAGAACTAAATCATATTATCATGCAACCATCGCAATATCGGTCTTTAGGATATTAAACAGTTTCACCATGTTTTTACCAACACAGTGGGCATTAACTTAAACGCAGGAAATGGGAAGACCTATGAGGGTGATGAATAATAAAATCTGCTTAGAATAAAGCAATATTATTTTTCTAACCTTCTCTTTTCTTAACTCTATAAGCATGATTTGGGCAATCTGCATCCTTTGGCTGGCTGAGGGTATCGAACGTTGTAACCCAATAGCAGTTTAAGGGTGAAGGTTGCCCACCCATTGTATAACTCTCTGTTGCCAAGTACTGAAGTCAAGCTGATTCTCCTTTTGGCAGAAATAGTAGGAAGTCCATGAACAATGGCATATATGAAGTCATGTGGGCATGGGGAACGGAAGCACATGCAGCTGTCATGAGTATATATGAGTGTACATGAGACTGAGCAGCACACAAAGGATCTACTTAGGAAATCAGGAAACAGAAGGTGGAACTTCCACTACATGATGCTCCACCCTGAGTATCTCCAGAGCAGGTGGACATTCTCCCAGCCATAACCGCCACAGTACAGTTCAGATAGAAATTTGTGCTTATGTTTCACCAGAGTTTGTTCTTTGCTGTTTATTTGTTTAATATATTTTTTTGCCACACTTCATAAGTGGGCATTGAGTCTGTCATTTGTTTGTTTGTTTGTTTATTTTCCAGGTAATAGTCTTTGAATTTTCTTTACTTTTTCCTCATGTTTCCTCTCTCTTTTGTTCTGCCATTTCTCCTCCTGATATCCGATTCCTTTCCTTGTCTATCTCTCTCCTCTGATGTATTGTAGACACGATGACCTTCTCAGAAGGGAACCTCCAAGTCCATTTTTGTAGGCCCTTCAGTTGGTCATTGTTGTCGGTCTTTGGTTACTTCTGGACACTTTGGTGTGCCGGCGTGGGAGGAGGTGAGGGACGAGGAAGAAAGAGCGCAAGGTAGGGGAGCCTTATTTATTAACCAGCAGCAGCAGTAGCTTCTTATCATCTAAGCAGCATAAAGAGGAGGAAAGACGTTGGCCAGTAACAAGATCCAGCTAATAATCCAGAAGCCGCATTTCTAGGAGCCTTTCCTTCTGCAATAAAACAAAAATAATGTCATAAATAAAACGTTGACGTTTACGGCAATCATATTCTTTAGGATTAATGGAAAGGAAATCTTTTGGTCATTTATAAACAAAATTACAAAACATTTCTGAAGATAATTAGCTGTCTTTTTGATGATAAAACACAATAAGCCATAACCATCAAAACGCAAGAGAGGGACCATTGGCCAGATATGACGGGCACCAAACACGGGCATGTGACCCGAAATAAGAAAGACTTTACTTTCAGTGGGAAGGGATACATCTCAGAGATTACTGCATGCATTTCTAATAGTAGGTATGTTTTTAGTATTTAAT